CCCCAAAACCCCAAAACCCCAAAACCCCAAGTTGTAAAATTTATTAAGCATAAAATCAATAAAAGTTATGAAATTAATAATTATTGAGTAGTAGTAATTGTTAAAGTGTTTTGAGCATAAATCAATGAGAGTAGTAGTTTTGAGAGATAGTAGTGCTTAAATATGCTTTTTTATCAATTATGGATGTTTAATCATTATTGTGATCCATTTTCTTATAGTTTTCAAGCTCATCTTTGTCCTCTTAGAGCATTGTTGCTAAACTATCGTTTCTGATTAGTGATTGCTGATTTTTCTAAAATTATTTTCTTTGTTTGGTTCTAAATGCTCTTTAATCTTATTCTATCTATGAAAATTATACAAATCATTACTTACTTACCTCTCTTTAAGTTTTCTTGATTCTATTGTGTCTGAAAGGAATGAAAAAGAAAACTACATAATAGAGAGTACCATACATCATAACCAGAACGACATGTAGAGTAATAAAAAGCTCTGCTACAGAATGTTCAGTCTCCCAAACTGCTTTAATACCACCAACACCTGAATGGCATTCTAATTTCATAAATTTCTTGACTTGATCGATTTCTAATATAAATATTCCTAATATCCCTATGCAGAGTGAATACAATGCACACAAAAAGCATATAACAGTAAGCCAAAGGGTCTGTAATCTGACATATCTCCAAAAGTCTAAAGCCCTTTCTGTTTCAACTTGCTAAAGATAAGAGTCAATCACTTACTTTTCAGCTTCATCCATAGTTTGTTTGTTATTATTTATTGATGAGTTAGTGCCTTTTTCCTTATTAGGTTGAGCTTTAGCCAAATTTATCTCAACAATGTTCTTCATTGTTTCAGTTTCTCTGTTTTTGCTCTTTTCTTCTGAGAACTATTCCTCATCATAGTATAGTTAGTAGTCAGCATTTTTATCAGAACCCTAAACAGATTTTGTTAACTTTATTGAGCTAAAACGAGAAGCCTTTGGCAAGTTCTCGTTCACCTCATCATGATCTTTATATCCAGTGGCTCTTCTAATCGCTTTCAAACTCACTTTTCTTTTATCTTCTTCTTATGTCTAAATGACCATTTTAAAGGTGATGTATTTTTCAATGTTATTGTTATAGTTAATTTTTTCATTTTACAATGGAATTTTATGCTTCTCTTGCTCTAGATCTAGCTTAAGTCCTACTACACTAGATGGTAGAATTAAAGCTAGCATCATATCTACTACAGACATCACGAAGTCCAGAATAAAAATCATCATAAATTACAAAGCTAAATCCTATTACTAAAAATGAATATTACGATAGATCTTAGAGTCGCATCTCATACCAGAAGTGGGAATAAGACCTGCAGCAATTATAAATGCTAGACACAAAAATCTTACTATCAAACCCAATTTAAGACTATATTAGTTTTAGTTAATTAAATAAGTTAACCTCAAATTTAAATCCTTACTGTTTCTTAAAGGAATTAGTATAGATGGCATTCAATGTCTTAATTTAAAGGTAGTAAGCGCTTACAATGTGGAGAATGCAATTTAATATGAGCATGCAGAACAGAATATTCAGATTATGAACAATAAACTCAAAGATCATTAGTTATATAGTGATCAGATTGAATGTCAAGAATAACCAGATTTCATATTGATTCCATGACCCATACGTTTATTTGTATCTACCAATTGCTTATGAGCCCTTGACTAGTAATAAAATGCATTTGAGGAAAATAAATATTTTTCGCACCCAGACAAAGAGATGTGACATTTATTGTAAATATATTTAAAATGCAATAAATATCCTAATAAATTTTTCTTGGTTTACTACAAAGATCAAAGTATTACTGCCAGGGGTTTTGGGGTTTTGGGGTTTTGGGG